AAGCCAGCTACTGAACTTCTCCCTGATGGCTCACACTGTGCTGCCTTAGCAAAGACAAAACAAAGCAAACACATGCATGCACAACATAGACTCACATACAAACATAATTTATCCATTTTTAATTGAAACTATAATTCTTAAGTTGAAAATACAGGAACATTGTGATTTGCCATGATAACTCTAATGCACAACAATGCTCTTCTGAACTGCTATGTTTAGGTCCCAGAACCGCTCCTCATTTGTCTTGCATTTTTGTAGGTATGGTTGAGCAAAATACAAAAAGAAAATAAAGATCATGAGACGGCACACACTGGAACTCTAATGTGACTCTTAACAGAATGGATGAGCTCTAAACAGGACAGAAAGTCTGCAAAACCACACAGGAAGAGGGTCATTTCTCACCGAGGAGAGGCGACTTCCTCCAGTGCCCATCTCGCACTTCAATGTAGTCGTACCAGCACAAGCTACTCTTGTAGAGATCCAGCGTGGTGAAGTTGAAGACAATCTGCAGTGTGGAGAGAAGAGTACACACCATGAACAATGCTGTAGGGACACATGTCCCCTGACTCCCAGGAGAAAGGGACTCGAGACTCCAGTGACAATGGATTCACAGCTCTTTCTTTTCCAAATATTTGGGTGACCTTGATATTATTCTTAAACAACTAACAGATGCGTTTCCCCACAATTCCTGGATAGAGTTAATTTGAACAATCGTAAAACAAACAAAAATGTTCATTTAAATAATTTAGATGGAATTTTCCGGAGATAAACATGACTGAATCATGAATAATTTCAATTTTTCCACAAATATCTTCTTTTTAATAATTTATTTCAAAGATAACCCGTCAGACATCTATAATTATGTTAAAATAACTGCCATGTGCCATATTCCAGGACATAATTTCATTGTGTGTGTTGAAATATTTAAATACAGCGCCATTTGCATTTATCCTTACAACTATAATCAAAGGCAGATGTCACTATTCGCCTCTAGATCCAAGAATATATATTCAAAGTCCTTTCAAGTTAGAAGATCCTGTATGTGACCCTTTATTCTGTGCTTTGTTTTTGGAATCATGCTGTTCTTTTGCAAAGATAATTCAAGAAAAGTCTAGGAAAGATAAATTCTTCATTGCTTTATAAAAAGGAGTTTATTGTTCCAATAATTAACTCTACTTTTACTAGATTACAAAAACAGTACTAACAAACTAACAGGAGATATGCACTTTTAGGAGGTAAAATCCATTTATAAAATGTTTTATATATTCAAAAACTCATTCTAACTCTATTTCCTTTAAAATACCTAAGAAACTTAAGGTTCATAGCAAACCTGTTTTTTACTCTACAAACTGAAAGGGATTTTGGCCACAGTTATAAAATTGAATATTTGAAAGGCTACTATTATAAAGTTATAGTTTGCAACAGTACTCATAGAGCCTCTTTGTAGCAACACAAGAGCTGAACGTAAGAGAACTCTAAAAGAATAAAGAGAAAGTAATTCTGAATCCGTATTCCAAAATAATATTGCAAACTCTCTACTGGAAATGTACGCTTCAGCCTTCCCTAAGCATGACATTTACCAGAAAGATAAGTAGTAACTATTATAAGGTACTCTAAACTGGCCTATTCCTTCCTGTATGCAAATAAAAATTAGTATCAATATTTCTAATGTCATGCCACCCATAGGCACCATAGTAATCATTAATATTATACCCTAAAATAGGTTTCCATTGTCCCTATGTATTAACATGCACATTTCTGTATGCCGTGAAATGAATACTAAGAATAAGAAATAAGAGAGCTACTTTTAATATAATACAGCATCATGCAGCAGATTATGGTATTCATAACTCATTTATTTATTTTTAATTTTCATGTATAGCTTCTCTTTTTCCTTCTTCTTCCTTCCCCTCACTCAACTTCATCATTCCATGTATTTTTAAATTATTTACAAATTAGGGCCAGCCAAGTAGCTCAGCGGATTAAAGTGTCTGCAAGCAGGCACAGAGGCTGAGGGTTCGATCCCCAGGCCTACCATGCCAGCTCCACCCCTAGGGCGTGCTGAGATGAGACTGGGCATGGTGGCGCGCGCCTGTAATCCCAGTTCTTGAGAGGCTGTAAACAGGGGAATCACTATGAGTCTGATCTAGTAGTGTGACCCTGAACACTCTATAGACCCTTTTTAAAATACCAAAAAAAAAAAAAAAAAAAAATTTACAAATTGTTTCCAAATGTCAAAGTGCAAAGCCCTAATTATTCTTTTCTTTCTCATCTGCAATCCCCAGCATTTGATTATCACATTGATTTTGATTCTGTATTATTTTTATCAAGTTTTCAAAAGATTTTTTTCCTCCAGTGTAACATGGGTTTGTTCTTAGGGTACAGTTTCTGACCCTTTCACTTTAACTTGGTGTTTATGTTTATTACAAATGAGAACTACCAGCAGGCATGATGTATTTCTCACTGTACATTTCTGCTCTCCCTTTAACAGCCACCGTGGTCTCAGTTCGCAAGGATTATGCAAGAACTCGTGCATCACAGCAGACACAAAAAACCCGCCACACCGCCCCAGAAAAAAAGAGATGCCAGGACACATTCTGTGGCTTCTCTCTGGACTTAGAAGGGAGTGTAGTAATGGTGCGCAAATAGTTTCAATTTCCTCCTGAATGAGGAAAAAAATAATCGCCAAATTGGATTTATGTATGTCATCAAATTTTACCCAAAACTGAAAACAATGTGGTTAGTTTGCTAACAGTTAATGTGAGAAGTCTTTGAAAAGAATACACACACACACACACACACACAGAGACACACACACACACACACATACACACACAGTTGGAAGGGGGATAACGCTGAGCAGAAGTTTCCTATCTTGTTTTTAATCTTCTAGTTTAAACTCCAAGTACCGTGGAGGAATGAAACCGGTCTGACACTAATATAAAACACAGAGTTCTTTAGAAGTAGAAAATGTAATAAAGATAGGTTTTCTAAAAATCAAATCTTAGGGCTTTGACTATAGAAGTAAATTTCTGGCCTTTGCCTAAGGTTGCTAGCAGCATCCTTACTTGAATTACAAATCAAAAGCACTTGGAAAATATTTAGTCATTTCAAATTAGGCAATTTATGTAACCACACTGCCTCTTTTGAGGAATAATAAAATGAATTCTACCTAATATAATTATATGAATGTTTTATTTCTGATAGTATACATAATATCAAGTTAAAATTAATCATATTTCTTTTGAAATACGAGGTGGAGGGAAACGCAAGCACCAGCCTCCAGTCTCCAGTGACCCACTGGGAGTCTTACTTGCAAACTGGAGTGATAGCAATTGCTGTCAAATCTGCTTGTTAAAGATTTTGTTTGACAGTGCTGCACAACGAGCAATCCTGAAGAAAGGCAGATGAGCAGGTCAAGGGACGGGAGGCCTCCAGGTCTCTGGAGAAAAGCCTAATCAATGAACTCTGTCAGCACAATTAAGGCACTATTGGCTACCTAAACAAATTCCATAGACACCATATAAAAGGCCAAATGGAGCACCACTCACACCTTAGAGGGCTGAGGATAGGAAAGATAAAAACCTTGCCAATTAGACTAATATTATTAAATGCCTCTTTAGCGAGAGACATTAGAATAAAACAGCAGGATACAATTGATTGTTGGGCTCCAGCCAGAGAAGCCTCCATAAATCTAATAAGCTCTCTAGATAGAAAGCAGTTGTTTTCTCAGAAATAAGGCTCAAAGAGAACAGACAGGCTCAGTAAACTGCAGACTGTAGGCAAATTCTACCTGCAGCCTGTTGTTGTAGATGAAGTTTTATTATAAATTGAAAATAACTATCCTTGTCTATAGTCTCCTTTCACACTACAAATTTATTTTATTTATTTTTTGTTCCACAATTTTAGATGTGATTATTGCAACAATTATAGAGCCTATAAAAGTAATATATTTACTTCATGCCATTTCCAGTAAAACTTTGCAAAACACTATAATAATTGATCATTGAGGTTTTGATCAGTCTTAAAATTGCATTATATAAAGGGGAAAATTATATCATATATATATTAATATTTTATTTATTTATTTGGTACAGTGTCTTGCTACACAATCAAACTGGTTGTGATCCTTCTGTCTCAGTCTCCCCAGCGCTGGGATTACAGGCCTGTGCTGCCATACCTGGCTTTGGTGGCCGGCTTGACATGGGGCCAGCACGGCATGCAGTACTGAGACTGAACCCGGGTCCTTGAGCTTGCCAGGCAGGCACTTAGACCACCGAGCTATCTCCCCAACCCAAAATTATATCTTTTCTTACAATTGGAAGCTGCTCTTGATTGGGAGTCAGAAGACCTGGGTTCACATTCTAGATTTTCAGCTGCGAACTTACTTGAAATATCTGAAGTTGAGTGAGTCTCCTGACTGTAATCAGATCGTTCTTACCTTTTTAAAACCACAAAGATTTAATTGGATAATGCATAGAAGAACACTCAGGTAATCTTGAAACTTTAAGCTTCTTTTGTATCAATATTTTTAGAATAAAAATAATTAAAAAATTAGAAATGATACAGAATTTGCTTAAATGAAATGAGAGGAATTCAACAATGGTTGACATTTTGGCTTTTCTTCAGGGCTGCTCCTCAGAACACTTCCTTACCCCTCGTCTTAGCCCCCAGGGCACTGAGTGTCTCGCTAATTGCCCATCTCCCCAGCGCCCTGCCGCCAGGTCCCTGGAGCCTCTCCCTCACCTTGAAGCATCTCCTCTGCAGGTGCTGCCCACGCCTCTCCTCCGGAGAATGGAAGAGCTCCGTAAGATGTGTTCTGGTTTTCGCGCTTACTCTTCTCTGAAGCATACTACGCTTTATGGCTACACTAATTTCAAAAATACTTTATCTAAACACAATTTGGGCATCAGATTCTAGAGCCAAACTCATGTTTGCTCCTTCCCTTTTCACTGCGTCAAATCCACAGCTTTCAATCCCCTCATCCTTAACTTCTTGCTGGTGCGCACTGCCCAAGTGACAGCCATCCGCATCCATTTCTCGAGGTATGCCTGGGCCTACATAGAGTCCACTCCTCCTGCTCTGTGCCTTTAAGTCCTCACATGTACCACATTCTATGAATCCTACCATCACTTCAGTTTTGCCGGCATCCTCCAACAAGATCTGAGCTTTCTTAAAAGCCCATGACAAGCTGCAGTTCCTTTTTTAAAAAATTTTTATTTATTTATTTATTTATTATTTATTTATTTATTTGGTACAGGGTCTCACTGTGCAGCTCAAACTCACAGTGATCTTCCTGTCTCGGCCTTCCAGGCGCTGGGATTACAGGTGTGCACCACTATGCTTGGTTCCAGGGGCCAGCCCAGTGCACCTGGGGTGTCAGAGTGGGCACCGCATACAGTGCCTGGGATAGAACCCAGCTCCTTGAGCTTGCTAGGCTGGCGCTTAGACAACTGAGCTATCTCCCAGCCCTGCAGCTCCTTTTTCTTAGTTGTGTTCAGGACT